ACTTCTTTTACCGCTCGATGCGAAGGGGTACATTTAACCCTTTCGGACCTGAATTTTTCCCCGTGGAGAAATTTTTCTCTAGCTATTTTTATTACTTGTGAGCATATAGGTATCATTATGGCGAAATTTGGAAGCTATTCGATCACAAACAAAGAAACTAAGAAGCTTTGAAAAATTGGCCCACCTTCTTAGTTTTTAAGCTTATGTCGAAACAATTCGAAATTTCATAGTTATGCCGAAAAAGTTTATAATCTTGCATAACATTATAACCCATAATTTTGATTAGGAATGGATCTACTTCAAGTATTAAAAAAATCACACTTCACTTGCCGTTTCGGGGGGGGGTCAGACGGTCGGGACATTGGTTCACTGTACAGCAAATACTGTAAACTAACACAACACGCAATGAAATCGGCAGTTTAGTTCACAGGGTTAGAAGAAAGTGACTAAAACTAACAGCAACCCACAATTGAAATACCATAGCTCATAATTAGGAAGGGGAAGGTTGACTGAAGCAACCTCTAGCAGGATTAGAAAAACCATGCTGTTTCAGCGGCAATGCAAGCGTTTGAATTTGGTGGTGGCAATTGCCACCGCCAGGGCCGAAAGGGGTTAAAGCATGAAATCTTCAATCGTTTAACAGCCTTGACATCATAAAATCTCTGTGAGTCTGGCTGAAGTCGTGATACAAACCTTAGCAAGTTCTGTTTTTGCAGAAACGATCCTTGCTGCCGTTGCTCAAATCAACCGAGACGAGGTTATCACAGTGAAAGCTACCCAATAAAGTTTTATAGAACTCGCCCTCCCCATCAACTTCATCGGAAAAAGTGGCCTCTCAAAACCATTTCGTGGTTTTCAAAACATTGTGTAATTCAATAACTCGTTTAATGACACTGAAATAACGAGAAAAAGGGGACATGCACTCTTTTCACTCTTCAAGATCCATTCGGCGGTTAACTAAGTGGAACTGCCTCTGCAATAAAGTAGCTGCATTCGCAACCGCGGAGGTGGTGCCACTCAAAAGCGCGTGGCAAAAGCGCCTGACGCTTCGATACATGCCTACCGTTGCAAATACAGTTATTTCTGCGTCTCACTCGGTCCTGTGTTCTCTCCAGTCTCTCTTCGTCAAAAAACGCACCCTACTTTTTTTTTGGTTTTTTTTCGCTAACAATCCATTTTTAACCTCTACTCCTATTCGAGGGCGCAATGGCTACGCCTTCCCAGGTAAGAGGACTTCGTCAATCATGAAAGCTTGTCATTCGTGATTTCAAGACATAACCCAGGATTGGGTCAATAGATTGAAGTCTATAGTCTAGCCCTATAGGGCCTTCGAAGCAGACTCACTTGAAAAATCAGTCACTATTTCCTGGAAGGGAGATTACATAGGAAGATTAGTGTTTTAGTAAGTCTATGGTACCTTTCCACTATTTGATTTCCCTATACCTCACTTTGGAAGTAAAATTAGAACTGTACCGAAGTCTTATATTGAATTCGGTGTGAGAACACAACGTGAATTTTGATTTCAAAAAATCGTCGAAAGTATTTTTTGCTGAAATTTGTTATCAAAATCTAGAGATATAGGATCTATAAGAATAAGAAATGTGCGCTATCAATTTCAGTTCAATAATATGTATCCAAAAAAACCGACTTGCTTACAAATGACAACTGTGGAAGACGATTTCTCGGAAACTGCGTAAAGATCGTACCATCAGCTTGGTAGTAAAAGTGGATCTTCTTATCATTAACAACGAATTCAGTACGCTGGCCCTTGCGGTTCTTGAGCGTTCCAATGTGGTCCACGTTCTCACCTTAATTCCCTATTTTTCCATGGACACAGACAGCGAGATGAGGGATACCAAGCCCGGAGGTAAGCAAACCAGCCCTTTTGGCGTTTCTGCTGGGGCCGTATGCTGAATGTTGGGGAGGGGATGGGGTCCCCGAGGTCGACGGACTACTTCAACTCGGTCGGTACGGTAGGAGAGTGATGACGCAAGTGGTGCAGCTGGGTCCAGCAGCTCCGCCAAAAGGGCTGGTTTGCTTACCTCAGAACATGGTATCCCTCATCTCGCTGTCTGTGTCCATGGAAAAATAGGGAATCAAGGTGAGAACGTGGACCACATTGGAAC